TTCAGCGGTGCCCAATGGATATTTTAATTGCATTCAGAATTGTAAAAATTTATCAATACTTTTTATTAAAACAATAAAATATAAAAATAAAGATATAAGATAAATACATAAAGAAATTACAAATAAAAAGTAAAAACAGATAGAGATAGAGCATATGTAGGAAAAATGCAAAATCAGTAGTTTATGTCATTATTGGTCAGACAGAGATTTTAATTTTTTTACTTCATAAGAAGTAAATATTAATTAATTTAATCAATGTGTGTGATGTATTGTAGTTATTGTACATCTCAAAATTTATAAGAAATTTTTATATAATAGTATATATGTAATTAATATAATAAAAAATCAAGTTTTTGTACTTATAATTCATAGAAATCTTTGTATTAAAAAAAATTATTGTCAAACTAGAAATGTTAAATATTAAATAATAAAAAAAAAGATTTAAAATTGTTGTCCATATTTGCAATATATATTTAATTAAATTGAAAATTTAAAAAACCTATTATATCTAATTTTCTACGTTTATAGAATTCTTTTCTCTTTAAAGATATCTTTTCAAAATTACAATCCAAAAATTAAGAGAAAGAGATTAGCTACGTGATTCTAAATAAAATCCACTTTAACAAGTATTCCTGAATACAACTAAAAGATTCTTAAATTAAAATGTTTGCTGTTAGAGCAAAATTTTACTTTCTAAATTTCAAAAGCTCTATTTAAAATGATTTTTTTTAAATTTGAGAATCTCTGATGCGCTTGAATGTTTCGGGGTTAAAGACCGGCTGTAGCAGATCTTACGTATGCTTCGAGATTTCAATTTTCTCTCGTTGTTCTTCCCTTTGCCATCCTCTTTCAGTCTCTTTCCTTCAACGCCGATCTTTTCGCGCTTCTCTTTCTCTTGGCGGCGTCTCTTTCTTTTTCTTGCACGCCCGCAAAACGAAAGACAGTTTATAACGCAGCTGACGAATGGTCGAAACGGTTCTTCATTTCCTCTTTTCTTTTTCTCTTTCTTTCTCTCTTTTTCTTCTCCTATTTACTTTCGCTTGTCTCTTTAAAAGATTCTTGTAGGATTACTGGGCTTAAGGTGACTTCACATCTCATAAAACATCTCGAATTAAATCTCGCTTATGAGAGAAGTTCAACAAACTATATAAATTCTCTAAATTTTATAATTTCCACATATAATAAATATTCACACAAAAAATATCAAATATATATTATTTATAAACATTTTCTTATTTCATAAATCATAATGATACTTTTTGATAAAATAATTGATTTCTTAATATAAAATTTTAAAAAATCTAAAATTAATACGCATGATTTTGAGTGCTTCCGTCTAAAATACGATCGATAGACAGCATCCTTTAATTACGGCTTTTAGTACAACACAGGACTCTTTCCCTTGTTCCGGAAATCTCTTTGGGAAGTTGCACGGCGGATTACAGGGATTGAGTTAAGCTCGAAGCAAAGAGAGAGAGAGAGAGAGACAGAGAAAAAGAGAGGGAGATTGGGAAGGAGGAAGAGAGAGAAATCGATACGTTCATGTACGAATGGTAGACATATTTTCGCACAAGTCTAATTGAAACAAACGGTGCTCTATAGTAGCTATAATAACATGATGAACGCATTAATCAATCAATAGCTTTAATTCATACATCGTATAAAGAGCTGTACATACAATTCTGTTTGCAAAGTTTCGCATATCCATAAATAATATAAAATGAATTATATCAATATATGATAAAAATATATAAAAATGTAAATATATTTAAAAATAAATATCCCAAAAATATATGAGATGTTTTTCTACTATTAAAATATAAAAATAAATTATATATAAGAAATTATAACATGAAAATAATACGAGGAAACTTTTGGATGTGACATTATCGCGGAACAATACTATAGTAACGAGATAATAAGAAATATATTAATTCAATAAATTTTAGAATTAATATTAAATTAATAATATCTCTTATAAATAAAATAATCATAGCAATCAGATTTGTAAAAAAGGCTTATAGTTCTTCGAGAGAGATTCCATAAATATTTGTCAGTACTCCCATAAATATTTGTTCAATCCACGAATGTGTCATCGAGAGGGAAATAGCCATATAAATCAAGATCCTGACCTAGACGCTTAGACAAGCTTGTCGTCTAAACTATTAACCGCGGCAACGTTATGAGTAGCAGACGGCCAGAAAAAAGATCATCTTAAACTCTTATAATATCATAAACCATGACGAGAGAAGAGTCTCCTTTCGTTTATGCGGACGTGCATATGCATTATGGCCAGCTAGTTTGTGCACGACGCTGTGAAAATCTATTTCGAACGAAAGAGAAACGCTGTATCCAGACATACGAACGCGCGCATTTTGATATCGTCATGATATATAGAGCGGCGAGAATGACGAGATAAAGAAAAAGAGAGAAAGAGAAAGTGAGCATCCCCCTATAAAGGCGCACATCAGCGGTGCCCAACCGTGTAAATAAGCGATAAGAGGATACAGATTCTGTCCTTACACTGAGAAGCTTATAAAGTAGTAAAAAAAAAGTACAAGTATAGCAATATAAAAAAATAGTATTCACACTTAAATAAATAAAGTAATAAATGATTAAAGAAAAGATGAAAAATATAAGAAATAAAGAGGAAAAATTCTCACATTATCGATCATTATTATCATCATCTCAATTATTATTAAAATATTCAGAAAAATATCTATCTTTTACATATTCATAACGAATTTGATAAATATTATTTATTTGCTTTCTCTTATATATGAAAAATATATGAAATATATATATGTGAAAAACATTTTCTTCGTAAATTTATTAACGCAGATGTAAATATAATAAATTTATAAATAAAAATACATATTTTTCGTGTATTATTTTATTTATGTGTACACTATATATATATATATATATATATATATATATATATATATCATTATGAATAAAACAACTATACGGGAGTGGCGATTTATAATCTCGTTCTCGTTGATTACCGTAATGGCGGGCACGAGCCGTGTGAGATCTCTTAATAAAAAAAAAAATCGACGCACGTCGACAAGGACCGGTTAGTATTTGCATTTTTCGAGACGGCTGCGAGGCAATCGAGCGAGAGAACCGACTGGATTGTCGAAAGCGAAGAGAAAGACTCGTGTGCATGTGTATTTTATCGTCCTCTCGAAAAGACCGGTCTCTCTCTCCTCTCCTTCACTTTTCCTTTCTGCCTTATCCTGCGGGAAGGCTCAAAGTTGAGCGCCTCTGTAAATCGGGTGCACGAGCACATCTGGCTCATGGAAACTCGGGAGTTGAGAGTAAAATATAAACTATGGGGTGCCACATCATCTCGCAAGGGCGGAGAACACTCCCTCGGGTTTCCACTACCTCTACCCTATTCCCTTCGTAATATCGCCATACGTATGCGCATTGCGCACGCAATTGAGAGAATAGACGAATGTGTATGCGAGAAAGCGATAGAGAGAGAAAGGGAAACAAGATTATTTATGAAAGGAAAATAAGTGCTGTTGAACAAGATAGATATGAAAGAATTATGACGCGGGTATAGATTTCAGAAAAAAACGCTAAGAAATGAGAATTGATAAATTATAAAAATTTGACATATTTTGTACATATACTCAATTTGATTATTATTTCACCATGTGTGTACCATTTTTTTCATACTAATGAATAGTCATTTATATTAAACTAAGAGAAAGTAACTAGAGAAAAAGAAAAAAGAATAAAATAAAGATCAAAAACACATATACCAGGAAGGAAAGTTCGCTCATACTCACACATATATATGCACATACATGTACAAATATATATGTATATACAAAAGCGATAAATGAAAGACTAACGCGTATGAGCACAGGGTAGATACGATCATACAAGCCACCGTATAGTCGTGGGGAGGGGAGAACCCCATAGAGGCTAGTTCCCATAGCGGACCAGGATCTCTCGCGACAGTCAGGAATACGCAAAGGGTTGCTAAAAGCCATTCACAAGGCTAATAGCTAATGGGGTGTTTTTAACGCGGATGTCGCGCCCTTTCGTCATTCATCGTGTTTCGAAAGAAAGATTTCAAAGAAGAAATTGCTTAATTGTTTCAAACGAAGAAAGTCTTTCTAGAATTTGCATATTTTCGCGATTATCGATATTTAAATTCACATCTACCTCAAATGAAAATTAATTAGTCGCGATGTTTCTCACTAATCTTTTTCTTTTAAATTTTAATAATAAATATATAAATTTATAAAGATTATTTTTCTTATGTTCCACTAAATAAAAAGTGTAAGAATAATCCTTAATAATAGCATAAGTGTAAGTTATAATCTTTTTTCTTGAAATTATTTCAATGATTATTATCAATAATTTAGAGAAAGCAAAGAACTTTTGATGTATACCTATGCAGAAAATTGATAATAATGATCAGCACAATAAAATATCAACGGCGATATTATGAGTGACTTGAAAAAAAAAAAATGGAAACCGGTTAACGGAAACCGGCCGTGGAAAGATTGATTTAGCAAAGGATATTGCTCGTTAATAAATTTACATTTGCAAAAATGTACGTAAACACCATCATGTACCGCAAAACAAATAATAAATTTAATATGCTTGCCGCAGTTATTGCTGTTTCGATTTTTTAAAAGTTTTATATTTTTTTATCATATTTTATCATCCATTTTATATAATAATAAATTTAGGTAAACGCAAAATGTCTGATTATCATAAACTATTATATAATTTATTAATCTTTAATAAATTTAAAATATTTGTTAATTATCAAATAAATAATTAACATACAATATTAATATAAAATCAATATAATTATTATATTATATTTATTATATTATATTATATTATATTATATTATAGTACAAAGTTAATACTATATCGCAATAAGTGCAAAGTTTTACATTTGTTTGTCAAACACGACGCGAAAAGTTTGCATCAAAGAAGGATGAGAGAGAGTTGATGAAACTTACCGAGTTGTGATTGATGCGTCGGTGTCGGTGCCGGTCTGACTTTGTCCGGGGGACATCTCCTGGTGGCGGCGACTGTTGCGGGCAGGGGTATGCTCGTGCCACCCCCTGGACCTCCCCCAGCGCTGCCAACCCCCGACGACTGTTTGTTGTAAGGCGATGGTAATCTAAAATGAAAAAGAAATTTGCTGTTAATTCATTGAAATATTTTTTTCGTGTATCCATTCTATATTAAAAAAAGTATTATAAAAAATGTATAAGCGCGTGTATTTTTAATTTCTTAAATATTCATTTATATTTTACTGTCTTATTAAGAAAAATAATTATAAATATCATTGTATAAAGAAAAATAAAAAAGAATATTGATAATATAATAATGTATAATGAAACTTTGAATCAAAAACCATTAATTTAAAAGTCACGTCAAATTTCTTATATAATAATTATACAGCTTCTATTATATGACACTTTCTATTAGATTTTTTACATTGCATAATTTTCTATATCATAATGTATAAATATTCTTATATATAAGAAAAAATATAATGACACAAAAAAACCATCATATGACAAATCGTCATATAATGCATAATGATTCTTCGATATTGTGTATTGTAAATAACATCTTTAACTCATTATCTAATTAATAATCTAATTTGGGGTCCGACAAACGTATAAATCAACGTTTAAAGACGTCATTAAGTTCCTTTCAACTAGCAGCTTTTCGACATACGCAAATTCATATAACTCGCTATATGCCGCTCTGTACACGCTTGTGCTCGAATTACCGAGTACCGTCTATAAACCTCGCGAATATAACTGACTTGGCAGAGATCTTTGACTCGTGTATCCGTACTGCGTGTTTAATGCTAAACGCGGTTATCCGATATCCACATCTCGCGTAAATCATCGTGCTTTGTCCTAAATTTATCCGCTATTTCGCCGCAACAGAAATAATTGCGGCTGTCAATCGACTCTAGTATCCATGAAGCACTAAATACAGCTATAGCATACTACCAATCCAATGCTGCGGAAAACTAATGCTTCTGGCTCGTACATCGCGACTTTTCAATTTTTTACTTCTTAATTGCAAATTCAATTATTTTCGACAGATATAAACGGAAAAAATAAAAAAAAGTCTCACTGCATCTCATCATATTGGAAAAGTGAAGCAATTTATTCAGGATGTTTAAAGAAAATTAACGATTCGATACGAGTATCTCCCAAACTACATTCGAGAATAATTTTCTTATCAAAAATAAATGAAACCTCGACTGTTTAATTAACATATTTTTTAAAAATATATATTACTAAATAATGCTAAATATACAAGCATTAATGTAGCTATATAAAATATTGTTATTTTTGGAATATATAAAATAATTCTTTCAATTAGTATATATTTTAATAATGTCATAAAATTTAAATGCATACTTTGCAAGTTGCGTCAAGAATGAGTCTTGGGTTCGTTCTCTGATTTATATACCGGGCTTGTGCATCCATTTGCATCCATACGCACACCCACGTGCAGCTGGTGCAGTGCGACCCGCGGGACACACCTCGTGGCGTTCTTTTCTTCTGCAAGAGGCTGCGAGAGATGCGATCCTTCACTCGCCATGCAGAGACACGACACAATAATGTTCGAGGAAGGCACAATGCAAGCGAGATATACGGAAGATTAAATTATGCGGTGATGCGATGGGGGGAGATGCGCGTATAAAGCTGCTTTATAAATTTCCATTTCTCTCGTCGGTGTGATGAGTACACGATGAGTTGTGAGATTTGCATTAAATGCTTGCGGAGAATATTGCTTAATAATTTTTTTAATTAGAATCTTTTTTTATTCCCTTTCGATTGTAATTGAAATAGATGATTAAATCTATTAAGCTCTCTGGCTTAATAAATGACACGAAGAAATAAATCTCTCTCCTTCTCTAATATTTATCGAAAAAAGTTATAAATTAATATCGATATCGATATTTATATCAGTATTAAATTAGTATTATATAATAAATATTATACATGATTTAAATATTACTTTTTTAAGATTTTAATTTTGATTTTATATAATGTTAAATGTCTTTTCCGAATAAAAGCTGTTATAAAAAAAATACTAATATTTCGCGTGACAAAACGCAGATTATGCCGCAGATGCGTTTTAGGACATTCTTTTTGTTCAAGTTCTTCCTTGATATATTGAGACAAGATTGTACCAAACGGTTCTAAAATCTTGCGATAAAAAAAATTAATTCCAAAACATTTAATATAAAATAAAACATTTCTAAGAAAGAAGAAGAGAGATAAATGATAAAAGTTGTTGTGACAAGAAAAGAGAAAAAGAGGGTGATGCAAAAATTAGAAACTTTTAAATGCAATTTGTGAATTATTACAAATGACATTTTGTACCTTTCTGTCATATTAATTTTATAATCTATATAATTAAATTGAATTAAAATAATACTAATAAAATTAAACTTTTTCTTTATTTTGCAAGTTTCGAACATCAATTTATATATCTTTGGTCCTTGTTTCAAGAATACAAGTACGGCCCTGAGGATCGATATATAAAAAACTGACTCCCTCGCAGGGATGCGCGCACCCCCGGCGACGTCGATTCGAAGAAAAAGAGAGATGTTTCAATCCGACGAGGATGGTATACGGCGAGTCGCGAATATTTACGAGAGCAATATCGGAAATTAATGCCACGACCGGGCGCCGCGGCGCGTGTTGCAACTGCCGCCATCGCCGCGACGTCTTACCCCCGGCAACGTATTAATATCGCGCGAAATGGGCGTCTCGCGACCGCAGACGGCGCCTTTCCTTTACGACGCCTTTGTTTCGGCTTAACTTGCATCGATAATGATACCAGTGTGTGTCCTATTAATCTTTTAATTAATTGGACGCTACCAATTTTGCGGTGCTCCAATCTTTCGGAAAACACTCGAACCAAAAGTTGAAATTAATTTTGTTTCGCTGTTTAAAAATTGTATTACATATCTTGGAATAATTGTAAATCATCAAGCGAATATCAACAATTGAATTAATAACAAAATTGATAAAAATTAATTATTAAATATCAATGATCACATATCATAATCAATCATTATTGTCTCGTTACAAGTACACTCTCATTTCGTAGTAATATTATATTATTTATAACGGCATCGAATTAAATAATTTTCTACTGCGCGTACTAGCTACATGTTTGCGTTCCACAAGGAAACAGCGAAAGCCATTATTACCATGACATCTGATTAATCGCGCTCGATAATTACTCGATAAGAGCCTTTATTATAAGAACAAATTGCACGCAAGCGAATTTCTCGATTACATACGGGTATCGATGCAATTTGTTCGACATTACGTTGTTTCATTAATCGTTGGCCTAATTTATAATACTTGATTTTTTGCGTACAAATGACGCCAGTTCCCTTGGTTTTTGATTACCTAACCAATGTATTTTATTAAGTCTATCAATGACCGGCGTGCATCGCGCGAGATGCACTTTTACATCGTTCTCGATATAATTCGATGATGTGATTACAATAAGCTGACGCAAGCTTGTTGTAATATATGTTTATTGTTGCAATGTTTGTTTGCTCGCCATTTCACTAATTAACTCATTTGTTTTGCCATATTTCCTATAAATAATAATTTTCGCAAATCTCCTTTTTAGTTTTTTTTTTTTTAAACTTAATATTATAATAAGAACTATTATATCTCAAGATTGCATCTACGATTCTTTTCTCTCTCTCTTCCTCTCACTCTATATAAATAATAAATTAACATTGTTAAAAATCTCTAAAGGAACATTTATTTTGTTTCAATCAAGTTAATATTAGATTAAGAAGATTATTATTATTAAACCGAAATTTTGGATGATTAATACAATTGATATTCGCAAAAATTGTACGAAAAAAGAAACTGAACAGCAGTGCTTAGACGTAAAAACGCCATATGTCCATTTAATGGCAAACTGTGCAGAAAAGGGAGCTGCTGGGGTTCCTTTGATGCCCGCAGGCAACAAGAGAGCCTGATTAGGTTGACTGACCAACAACGAGATGCATATCGGTTAGGACGACATTCCTTCTAATTGCCAACTGCCGGGATCGGATCGGCCGATGCAATTTTTCGAACGGTAGCCAATTAAAGATCCCGTCGCCGCGATATAGAGAGAGAGAATGTTCTTTCTCTCAGTCGACGCTACGAGATCCTCAAGTCTAGTGAAGGTAAAAGCCAGCTTTCGTTAGAAACCGGAGTGACGTAATATTAAACGTAGCGAATTGCTTATTTTGAATTTATTATTAATAATATTATAAATTTAAAATGTCTTGTTACATATAAAGGTAGAGGATATATTTACATAAAATACAAATTTAAAAATTTCTGCAAGATTAAATAATTTTTGTCAAAATTGTTTACAAATCTCAAATCAATTACATCGTTTGTACTCGATAAAAAAATGATAATTTATTTAAAATTATAATAAGCTTTTTCTATTTAATATTTTTTATTATCTCTAAGTAAATATAATTAATTATTAAATTTTATTTTAAAATGTACGATTTTGAAATTTCAAGAAAAGCATGTAAGAGATTATCTAAATATTTCGGTGTCTATCGCTATTCTAGCTATGATGCATTTCGAAACTGTTAACTGTGAAACATTTAAAAACTTCTCTTCAAGCAAAGCATGATTCAGATAAAGCCGCGGTGAATAAGACTGCGATTAACAGAACCTGTATTCTTATCTTTCCCAAGCACCGAAAGTGCATGAATGTTGCGCGTTGACGTGAAATCAAACAAAAATTCCAACATTTGTTAAACAACTAGATAAGAGAAAACTCTTACATTTAAATGTTCAAAAAATATTACGCATGTATTCATTCCAAATGTAAGCTCCAAAACTCTTTCTTTGCTCCAAAATGCCATTTTAATTCAAAATAAGTCGCAATTAGCTATTCTATCATTCTCAAGCACATATCCACGCAAATAATATACATCTGTTTATATTATTTTATAGATAGTAATTTATAAAGATTAATTGCATAATAAATACGTTTATTAATTTTATTAATGTTATATTAAATAATAAAACAATTTTTATAAATTTTATTTAAGTAAAAAAATGAGATAAAAATATATCAAAGAAGAAAATATCGGAAAAT